GCACACCTGACCAGCTTTTTTCCAAAGCTTTTGCTTCTCTTCTTCATTTGTTTTCTTGCAGTGGTGGGCACTAAAAACATTGGTGCTTTAGCTGTTCTAAGATTCTGTATTAGTCTTTATTTTGAGGCTGAAAGCCTATCAGCTCCCTTTCCTTTGCAGTGTGGTCTAGAGAATTTCAAGTAACTAGGCTGAGCTACATCTGAAGCATTTTAAATATCAATTCCTGTACACCTGTAAATGAAAGAAGGAGGGTTGGATGTTTTTCCAAAACCCTTGAACAACTGTAAGGCAGACTTACCTAGTGGATACTCAGGTTGGCCAAATGATCACCTACTGAAAATCAAGAATGAAAGATTTATAGGTCAGCAGTTCCTTGAGCCTAGGATCATTTATTTTGTGTTTTGGATAATGTCAATTGATGTAAGCCTGTGCTTAAACAGAATTGATTAAAATGCATGGACCTCTTTCCCCAGAGCTGACTAGAGATGAGAATAAGCTTCACCATAAAGTCACACTTATTTCCTCAGTATGCAGTAATTTCTCATTGAGGTACAACCATTAACAATCAATTTTGTGCTGTCCAGTCTTAATCTTTTAAATAACCACAGTTGGCATTTTATCTAGAGTGGTTCAATGAAAGTCCATTTATAAGCAGATTTTAAGGCAGGGACTCACTCAGATTTTGATCCTTGTAGCTGCCAGTAATGTAATGGAAGCATGGACAACCTGATCACTACTGTTTTGTAGTGCCTGTAATTGCTGAGTTACCAGAAGGCTCTCAGTGTCTGGTGAATTTAGAGCACGCAAGTGATGCTTTACATTTCTTCTAAATTAATATTCATTCTTCCTCTGTCTCTTCAGATATGAAGCTTTGGTGCCTGGCAACACTGAGTACGCTGCAAAATACCAGGATAAGCTGTATGTTTTTGAAAGTGAAGAAAAACTTCTGAAGTTTATGAGGTGAATATACTAGCTGCACTGCAAACTTTAATCATGTTAGAATTTATACATCTCTAAAGCACTTATTTTTTATCTGGTTAGGTTACCAGAGAAGTATTGGAATCTGAAGCTTCCACATAAGCTCCCTCCTGTAAGGGAGCCAATACTACTCACTGCACTTCCCATGGCTGGATACCTTGAGCAGGTCAGTTGTTGCTTCTTTTTTAAAAAACATGATTTTGCAATGTATAGCATACACCAAACTGTGTGTGTTTGATTAACACCAGTTTTGATTTGTTGTTGTAGTTTTTATTGTTGGATGGTTGTTGGGGCTTTTTTGTGGTTTTTTTTTTGTGTGTGTGTGTGTGTGTTTTTAATGCACTATGAGTCTTATGATTTCTAATGGGACTGTATTGAATTGAAAATAGTGTTTTTAAAATTGAGATAAATTCTTAGAACATTTAAAATAATAGATACTAGTAATTTGAATGGCAAAAACAGCAACAAAACAAACAAATAAACAAAAAAAAAGAGTATATTCACCAGAGGGAAATAAGAAACTGCAAAAATAAAAAATAGATTTTAAATCTCTTTGGCTTATCATATCTTGTAACATTGCATTTTGCTTTTATTTTTAAAACTAGGATAGTCCCAAGCCTATATCTGGAGTCATTTAAGGATAGCTGGTTGCATTTTGAGATGTGGTTATGAAATAAAAAGATGATTCACAGTCACTTTCCTCCCAGTTTTATATTTGGTTGTTCACAGAATCATAGAATGGCCTGGGTTGTCAAGGACCACAATGATTGTCCAGTTTCACCCCCCCCCCCCCCCCACCCTGCTAAGTGCAGGGTCACCAACCACCAGACCAGGCTGCCCAGAGCCACATCCAGCCTGGCCTTGAATGCCTCCAGGGATGGGGCATCCACAGCCTCCTTGGGCAACCTGTTCCAGTGTGTCACCACCCTCTGTGTGAAAAACTTCCTCCTAATATCTAACCTAAACCTCCCCTGCTGGGGATTTTTGGTTGGTTTGTTTGCTTTATCATTAGATATCATCTTAGATACTTAGATTTGCTTGACAACAGGATCTGGATTTTGACATGTTTTTCTTTTAAATCTTTGTGATGGTCTTCCAAAACTTCTATTTCTTTAGGGAGTATCAATTTCTCTAATAAAAGCTCTGAATGAAGTAGGATGCTTAAAGCCAAAGTTCCCATTTCTTAGTGTAAGAAGAACTGCTCTCCTTTTTGTGGCCTGCCATCTAAAAGGTAGTGTATAAAATAAAATGTAGTAAATTAAATAACTGCAGTAAATCATCTGATTCAACATTGATAATTAATGTCCATTGTTTTCTTAATGCCCAATATGGGAAAATACCATTATATGCTGGTTTAAGTACACACTGCCAAGTTTCTGGGGAACATGCATAGAGCGGGGAGAAAAATAAGGTAAATAGGATAGGCAGATAGATAGGCTCATAAATAATGAGATCTGAATAACATTTTATCACCAACAACCCAGTAGTCTTGATAATATTCCTAACATGGATCAACGAGTTTTGAAACAAAAAGATTATTTATCTAGGTTGCACCAGATTTGTTGGAACTAGTCACAAACGACTGGAATTGTCTTTAAAATGACTGAAATCACTGTGATTGAGGACTCCTGAAATATTATCTGGGAGTTTCAGAGTGCTCTGGTTTCCAGTATACTCCTAGAGATTTCTTCAGCCCACCGGTTTTGGCTTTGATGAGCCAATCTGTCTGGTGATTTGCCTTTTGTTTTCATAACTTTTTCCTTATATTTCCAGATAGTTGCAATCTTTATTATGTCTGCAGTTTTTCACATTCAGTGTTTCCCCTTGCAGCTTCAAGAGCCCTTCACGGTTTTCTTGGACTGCCACAGGCTTTTGCTAGTGTAGCTTTGTTAAGGAAGACCACTGAGCAGCATAGGCACCATACAAGCCCCTTTATAAATGTACAGTCTTTGAACCAGAAAAAATGTTTCTATACTGTAGCTTGCTTTATCTACAAAATATTTTTTTTTTCTTCTTCTTTTTTTCTATTGTTAGCCCAGCTCCTAATATAATTATGTCCATGCTTGGAATGCTTTTCTTATATGTTGCATTATTAAATCAGATGATGAAGTGAAAATGTTATGCAAGTGCAACAAAACTCTTCTCATGTACTGACATTTTGACCACAGGAATCCAGGAAAACAGGTTTTCCCCTTCTAAGACTGTGCAGAACTGTTTCAAACTTTAAGACATAGTGTTCTAGTATACTGAAAAACCTCCTTTGCAAATATAGCATTACTTATTGTCTCCTCAGAGGACTCTTGTTGTTCCTGTTCAAAAACATGATTCAGATGCTTCATGTCAGGGCCCTTTGTAAATGTTTCAAACCCATTTCTAACTGAAGTAAGAAATGTCACTGCACCCTCTTATTTCACATTCAAATAGAGAACAAGAAACAGTGGTCTAGTTGCTCCTGCAGCTTTCCTAACAATCCTGTATTGCCTTCGCTACCTGAGAAGAGACAGTGCAGGTCATCAATTATAAACGAAGAGAGATTTACTCCTGGAAAAGGAGTAAGAAATTGCACATCCCTATAGTAGTGCCTTAGTGCCCTTCAGACTTAACACCTGTAGAATAAGGCTGTCTACATTTTAAAGCTGAAGTGGGCTGAAGTGTTCCATAGCTCTTTGTGCTGCTCAGTCTTTGTTAGGAGATATAAAATACCATCTCCTAGGAAGAAATGGTTAGGATTTGTCTGTCCTAAGCCCCTGACTGCCCTTTGCCTATGTAACAACAACAGACACTCTGAGGGGTGGCACTCAGCACTAATATACCCCAAAATATGGTTTAGGGCAGAGGTAAGAGGAAAGAAGCATTACTGTCCTCACTGTAAACGAGGCTTCGACATTTCCTTCCTCTTCTGAAATACTGGAGATATACAGTCAGCTCTTGATTTTTTTATGGGCAAAATATTTAGATCATAGATAATTGAGCTAGGATGCAGAAATTCCAAAAATGATGGGGAGCTCGCCTGGCTCTGGGCAAACGGATTAGTTTACACACGGAAATGTGGCCATGCTACGTTTGCTGAGCTGCCAGATGGCGCTCAGGAAGACTGCACGCTGCCCTGATTAACCCTTTTGCAGGATCGAAGGGTTTGGAAGGGATCTGTTTCCCTCACTTTCGAATGGAACTTCCCGTGTTCCACTTTGGAGGCCTCCCGCACTGTTACCCGCACGAGACACGGCTGCAGACTCAGTGCTATCACTGCCCGTGCCGCAGCCGCAATCTCACGCAGGATTCTCTGTTCTCGCAGCGCACAACGCCCGCAGCCCGGCGTACAGGAGACAGGCGTACCGCAAGCGGCTGGCGCGGCTCGGCGAGCACTGCGAGCTCATCCCCTACCTGGGGAGGGCGATGCAGCGCGAGTACATGGAGCCCCAGCACCGACCGCTCGGCTTTGACCTCAAGCTGCAGACCTTCCTGTCGCTGAAAGACGCCAGCCCAAGCTTTGTCTAGTTCGGACTGCGTTGTTTTGTTGGTTTTTTTTTCAGGTACTGTCTTTATTAACTCGCGGAGCGGAGCTGTATGCCGCCGGGACAACTGTTATGCCTACAGCACCGCTAAACTTAAAGCTGAAAATAAAACGTTTTCCTTCCAAGCGTGCTGCCATAGCTCTCTCCACACCCACCTACACCCGATGGCCCCGCTGTTGGGGCGGTCGCTGCCGCCGTCCGACGTCACGGCGCCGGAAGTTGCGGCGGCGGCGGTAGCGGCGGAGCGGTGAGTGCTGGCCGGGCCCCGGCGGCCTCGCACCGGTCCCGAGCTCTCGGGAGGAGCGGCCGGGCCCGGGCCTAGCGTGGGGCCGGGCGGGAGGCGGGCGCGGCGGTGACCCTGAGGCTGCTTCTCTTCCTCGGCGTGGGCCGCGGGCCCCGCTCCCCTTCGTTGCCCGCGCCGCACGGGGTCTGCGGGCGTTGCTTGTGCCGGGAGGCGTGCGTTGGGCGCGGCGCTGCTGGCCGTGCGGCTGCAACCCCGTGCGTGCTCTGACCCCGGTGTGCTGGGTTAGCGTGCCCGAGAGCGGCGTTCCGCGACTGAACGCCGAAGTCCGTCCTTCCTTCCTGTGATCCCAGCCCATCGCATAGGTTCCGCCCGACGGGGGAGATTGTGAGGGTAGGGGATGTAGGGTCTAAGGAAAGGTTATTTACCACGAGGGTGGTCTGACACCGGACCAGGCTACCAGAGGGTTGGTTGGTGCTTGTGCTCCTCTCCTCAAGAGGTGCTTGGGCAGTGCCTGCAGTGGCACGCTGTAACTTCTGGTCAGGCTGGGCTGGGTGGGCTTCATGGGTCCCTTCAGCTGTGCATGGGATTGCGCTTTGGCTTCGGCGTGAGCTGTTTGGTGACTGGAGCTAAACGGCTTGTGAGCTGCTCTGCTCACCCTTAGGTGTCATCTGAGCCTACTGTGTGATGCTTCGTACAGCCTTCCTGCAGCTGGTCAGAGCTGCTGCCTTCACTGAGCACTTCATAGGTGTTCATAGGTGTACTTCTGTCTAAAATACAGAACCTATAACTTCAAGTGGCAGGTAGTTAAGTAGTTTCACTTTTGGCTCAGCTGACCCTCAGGAAATGCCACATCCCTGGAGGCATTCAAGACCAGGCTGGATGTGGCTCTGGGCAGCCTGGTCTGGTGGTTGGTGACCCTGCACATAGCAGGGGGGGTTGAAACTAGATGATCATTGTGGTCATTTTCAACCCAGGCCATTCTATGATTCTATGATCCTATGATTCTAGCATGGGTCTTCCGTAGTATTTTCATTTTCATTTCATTTCAGAATTCTTCTGAAATTGCTTGATCTTCATTATTTATTAAAGATAGATTAACAGTTAACGTTTGGCATACTCAGCTTTATTTTAGACAGAGATCTTAAGAAAACAAAAACAACATCCATAGGGTGAAGCTTAGAAGGTGAGCATTCTGAAAGATCAGCTTTCAGGAGGGCACAGAGTTCTGCCAAACCAATGCTGGTAATGTTTTATTCACAATCACAGGATTTCAGAGCAAAAAAGGGCATCTTGCAGCAATGTGGCTATGGTTGATTTTTTGTTTGTTTGTTTGCTTCTGCTTAGGAGCTGCGAACAAAGAGTTCTGTTTGTTTTAGTTGTGAAAGAGGAGTTCTCAGAAGGGGTGGTCATACAGTTCGTGGTACATTAGAGCTAAACAGCTGAAACAGTTGGCTGTAACTGATCTAGGAAGAAGCTATCTGTGGTCATTTCTTAGGATTTTAAGACATTCTGAAGAAGAAAATCTCTGCCGGCATTAGAGCTGACTTTATACAAACAATTCAGAAGCTTCAGAATTGCTTCAGAAATTGTTGAACTCTCTTGACTAATGAACAAAATGATATTTGATGTCTTGTAACACTGACTTCTAAGATTTGTTTAACTTATTCTGTCCTTGCAGGTGCCTCCTTGCATATACACAATAAAAATGGCAGAAATGTCTCCTGACCCTTCTGAGAAACTGGTCATCATCCACTCCAAAACTCACAAACATACCGTTCTAGCTAACTTTGAAGAACAAAGGAAGAAAGATTTTCTTTGTGACATTACTCTAATAGTGGAAAATGTGCAATTCAGAGCCCATAAAGCTTTGCTCGCTGCCAGCAGTGAATACTTTTCAATGATGTTTGTAGAGGAGGGCGACATAGGGCAGTCGATTTACATGCTGGAAGGAATGGTTGCTGATGCCTTTGGAGCACTGCTGGAATTTATTTACACGGGTTATATCCATGCTACTGAGAAAAGCTCGGAACAGATTATAGCGACTGCACAGCTCCTGAAGGTGAATGACTTGCTGAAGGCCTACAATGAGTACCAGGCCAGCCGCAGCCCTGGAGGCACACTGCCAATCCCTTCCAACAGCAGCACCTCTGTAGCGCTTACTGCAGGTGACAAAAAAAGTGAAGGGCTGCCCAAGCGAAAACGGGGGCGACCTAGGAAGATCAATATTGTCCAAGAGGAAAAACCAGGAGCAAATTTTGCTGAAGATGTGCAGCTGAAGGAGAATAACTCGATGCAAAATAAACAAAATTTTATGAAAAAAGACATGGCAGCAGAAGGAATAGTTGTCAGTGAACAAGATCCAGCAAGGAAAGATGCAGAAGAAACAGAACCTGCTGGTGGATCAGAACCTGCTGCCAATCTGTCAGCTGAGAAAGATGAGAATTGTGATCCCAGGTCGGAAGGGATTCAGAGTGCTCAGAGCCGTTACAGCAAACGTAGGCTAAGGAGGTCAATCAAACTAAAAGATTATAAACTTCTTGGTGAAGAGGATGAAAAAGGACTGGCAAAGAGAACTGATGGAAAAAGAAAACGTACGGGTTCTGAGGCACGTTGTAAAGACTGTGGCAAAGTATTTAAATATAATCACTTTTTAGCTATTCATCAGAGAAGTCACACAGGTAAGCGGTGAGAGATCCTCTCTTTCAGTAGAGGATTTAGTGCTGTTGCACAGTGTGAGCCACTTGTTGAAGTGTGGGCTGTTGTCTGTAGCAAGAGCTGCCCAAAAGAGCGCACCAATCCAAATTGTTATGGTGTGTTTCTGAAACTCTCTGCTGTTTTATTCTTATCAACAGGCTTCATAGCCTTTACATCTTATCTTGATTCCAGTTTAGGTAATCATTTCTCTATTCAAACTTTGAGTAATATGGCAATACTTGAATAATTTTTATTGCCACGTGAAGCTTTTCTCTTTCTTTTCATTCTCCTTATCTCTTTTAAGAAGTCATTTTATGTAGATACTAGATTCCAGTGAGTCTCACTATCAGCTTAGAATATTTATTGAGAAGTAATGCATCTACGCTGACAAATCTGATTTTAGGAGAGCGCCCTTACAAGTGCAGTGAATGTGGCAAAGGCTTTTCCCAGAAGCACTCTCTTCAGGTCCATGAGCGGATGCACACGGGAGAGCGGCCATACACGTGCACTGTCTGCAATAAGGCTCTGACAACAAAGCACTCTCTTCTGGAACACATGAGCCTACATACAGGTAAATATTGCAAAGCAAAGCTAACTCTCCCTGCAAGAATACACCTTTGTAGAAAAAGAAGTATTTCTGCCCTTTCTCATGTGTGTTGATTTGATTTTATTTTTTTTCCTTTTTATACTTATGTTAGATGCGGGTTGCATTTTAATAAGTGATTTTCTTCACAGGGCAAAAGTCTTTTACATGTGATCAGTGTGGGAAATACTTCAGCCAAAAGAGACAGCTCAAGAGCCATTATCGAGTACATACAGGTATAACGAGCTTTAGTTTAAGAGCTGGCTGACAGTCTGTGCTGATTTGTTCTTGTAAAGATCAACTAAGGCTGAATATTCTTCTTCAGTGATGCATATAGGCTTTGTTACCATGATACGTGATATCTCAATGTAACAATGAATAGGATTGAAAAAACAGAATAGTGAATAACAAATGGAATGTCTACAAAGGTAGCTAATTGAGGAAGACCCTTCTGATGTTTAAAAATTGTGCTGTATTTACCATAAAACGTTTTAGCCCTGCAGCCCATGTTGCATACATGCTGAGAGAAAAAGTATGTTTGAGGGGGGAAATTGATCTCAGTTCCCTCTTTTACTATGCTAAGAATAAATAGAGAAATAGGGGTGTGTCGTTCTGCTGGTTTGTATGACAAGACAGAGACAAGGCAGTGAATCACCTTTTGTTTTATCTTCGTATTATACCAAAGTGGTTATTTTACAGGAAAGTGCTTTAACAAAGATCACAGAAGAGATAAAGGGGATCACTTATGCACTGACACTTTTTTTATTATTGCGACAAGGCCGTTCATTGCCGGAATGCAACCAGTGTCATCGCAAATTCATGGATGCAGCTCAGTTAAAGAAACATCTAAGAACACATACAGGTAATAATGTCTGCTGTTGTGTTGGTTTTGCTTTTTTTTTTTCACTTGAAATAACACAGACAAAACCATATATGAGGCAAGGGACGCTTATTTCTCTGGGTAGAGCTTTGGCTATGCTTGTGCACTATGGTGCCTGTTTCAAATTAGGAGATAAGATATCAGGAGTTCATAATAAGCACAATTTAGCTTGTGTTACAACAGCACAGAAGCAGTACCTGTTATAGGAAGGTCTCTTTTTTTTTTTTTTTTTTTTTTCCCTTAGAAAACTGCTGCAGAAGATGTCAGTTAGTTTTCCTGTGATAAAAACGTGGAGTGGGAATTTAGTTTATCTGGGTAGCCACATGCAGCATTTGTTAGGCTAGACATAAGCTATGTAGTAACAGAAGGCGCACGTCCTAGAAGAGTGTACATCCCCCTACTCCAGTCTGTGGCGGTAGATGCTTGCAGAAATGCTGCTCACCATAAAAACAGTCATTTCAGTTTACTGTTTTATTATGCTGCAGTAAGCCAGATTCTGGCCATAGATTGTCTAGGAGGGATAAATTAATGCAAGTGATGTAAAAAAATGTTCTAAGGCTTTGAAAGCAAGGTGGTACTTGAATGGCTGGGAAACATCAAATAAAAGTGTTGATGTAACCTCTGATGATGACAAAGCATAAGATTCTTAGAATACCTCTCTTTGAAGAGTATGTGCATAAATGATTTGTATTTTTTTTTCTTTTAAAATAGCTGTAAACAGTGGCAATAGTTTCTTCCCAAAACTGGATTCTTCTTACTTATATTACTTGTAGAGTGTATACAACATCAAACTGTGATAAGGTCAGAACTTGTGTTCTTGGGTGTTTTCTGTTTCCAGGCTTGTGTTTATTTGCAATACTTAGAAATACTGCATTTTCTCTTGAGGACAGCACAGTTCATTTTGACATAAGAGTATGCGATGCTGATAAAGCTCTATAAATGTAATGGGACATGAACGTGGTGGTGAGAAATGAGAAGGATCGTCATGGTAGCAAGGTGTGTTGCAAAGACATTATTTCACTGAATTCTAGCAGAAATTGATTTGCAGTCGATATTGCTTCCAGAAAAGAGGCCAGATGCCAATATTGTCAATGCAGAAATACAAATTGATCTGTTCCATCTCAAAAGCAAGGAGTAAAATCCTAAGGAACCTGGAGGTCAGGTGTTAACATTGATATGACTGCTTTGGCTGCAGTTTTGTAGCACTGTGCATAATAAGAACACAGACAACTTAAGGAAGTTACTCCTCTTTTCATAGGAAAGTTGGTAAGCATTGCAGTTCTAAAAATCTTCATTGCCAGAATTCACTGTGAATCTTCATTGAAAACTGGCTATTGCCCCATTCTGAGTTTCATTGTGCTTTGGTGGCATGGGTTACCATGGTAGTGATCCAGATTCTCCTAATTAGTCTTTTAAAGATGTTGCATGCAACAAAGAAAACTTGTGGTATGAATTAGCTTTGGTTTTGCTGGGTAATATCTGTTTTCTTTTAAGCTTTTTGTTATTTAATTTGGTCACTCGGCTTCTACTCGATTAGACACAAAAATTCCAAATGCAGTCAAAACAACAACAAAAACAATTTATTCAATCCAACATAAGTTATTTTCTTCTCCAGCTGTGTTAGATAAATAGCATGATTTGGATTGGAAGAAACCTTTAAACATGGTCTAGTTCCAACCCCAGTGCCAAGGGAAGGGACATGGGACATATTCTCAGGGCATTGCAGGTCTAGGATGAAGTCTGACTTGTTAAGATAAAACACTTCGGGTTTGGAAGTATGGGCTTACTGATAGGCATAGTGCTCCACGTGAGCTTGGTGCTGTCTGCTAGTTCAGGGGCAGCGTTTTTCAAGATTCTGTGTTCCATGTGGACTATCTTCAGTCACCTGCATCTGCCTTGGTACATGTTTTGTTGCCCTGAGGGCTTGGATCACCCGGCTGTCTGTCTTCATAGAGTGATGTACCTTTAACATTTAACATTTTATACCCTTATAAATGAGGTATATGAGGCTATACCCTTACTAATGAGTTCAGTTTCAGATATCCATACTGACCATTGGCAGAAGCATGACCATTTGTCTGTACATGCTTAATAATTTTGTACAGTGAAATGTCATAGAATCGTAGAACATCCTGATCTGGAAGGGACTTGCAGATTCTGGGCTCCACACAGGATGAACCAGTATTCAAACTTTGTCTGAGAACACTGTCCAAATGCTCCTTGAACTCCACCAGTTTGGGGCCATGCCCACTGCCCTGGGCAGCCTGTTCCGTGCCACCACCCTTTGGAAAACAACCTTTCAAATGTTTTTAAGTACTAAATGAGAACTGATGTCATGTTTCTTTTTGATAGGTGAGAAGCCTTTCACTTGTGAAATCTGTGGCAAGTCATTCACAGCTAAAAGTTCTCTTCAGACTCACATTAGAATTCACAGGTAAACTATGTCTAATTTTCATTACGTTCTTTAAAAATATGATTTCTGTTCTGATACCTGTATCTTGTGCTTGTTCAGTTACAGAGTGTTCAAGTCTTGTTTGCATTTTGGATGGATGATTAAAGACTGACACTTTTGTTTAATCTAGTAGTAGAAAGTGTTGTGCTGTTCAACACTAGTGTAGTAAGGTGTTGAAAGTATTTCTTTTGTGCATTGTGTCTTAATGATGATGATGTACTTACTGCTGTGTTATTTATGCAAAACTTTATACTGTAAATATTTAACAGCAAAATAGCAGCCATAGCGTAACAAGATTATTGGAGCATTTTCCTGTTTTCCTGTAGTCTGTCATATTTTTTACTATTTAGGATGTTGGCATGGGTAAAAGCTGTATTACATAAAGGCTTTTCCAATGTGAATTGGAGAACTGCTGTGAGCCTTATGTAAAAGAATATATTTCCAGTATAATTTATTGTCCATATGAGATAGGCAGCAATTTAGGAGTTAGAGATTTCCTTTAGTTTTAAAGCTAATGCTGTTAATAAACATTTTACGGTAGTGCTTACAATTGTGCAAGTAAGTTGCATCCTTGTCAAGATGCAGTAGCAGTTTGTACCTCTGGTATTAGGACAGAACTGAAGTTGTGTTCTTTCTGTAGCAAAAGAAAATGAAAGCATTGTGCAGCTCATGATTTTGAACAGAAATAGAAAGTCAGAGAATACTTGATATGTTCTTATGTGTTCTTATGACAGTTCTTATGTGTTTATGATGCAGCAAAAGAAAATAATCATTTCAGTTTCTTATTCTGTATTAAGCTGCATAAAGCAGCTCTTCAAAGCAAATATTTTCATGATATCAAGTATGTTCTTTTGCAGGGGAGAAAAGCCATATTCTTGTGGGATATGTGGAAAATCTTTCTCTGATTCCAGCGCTAAGAGAAGACACTGCATCTTACACACAGGCAAAAAGCCTTTTTCTTGCCCAGAATGTAGTTTGCAGTTTGCTCGTCTGGACAACCTGAAGTCTCACTTGAAAATTCATAGCAAGGAGAAGCAGTTTCAAGAAGCCAGCACTGCTCCAAGCACCAACACTAATTCAGAGGAAGTGAGAAATATTCTTCAGCTGCAGCAATATCAACTTGCCACCTCTGGAGGGCAGGAAATTCAATTGCTGGTTGCAGATGCAGTGCATAATATAAACTTCATGCCTAGTCATAATCAAGGCATTAGTATTGTTGCTGCAGAAAGTGCCCCAAATATGGCAACAGGGCATGCTACTAACCTCACGTTGCTTGCTCAGCCACCACAGCAGTTGCAAAACTTGTTGCTTTCAGCTCAGCAGGAGCAAGTGGAGCAAATCCAAAACATCAGTGTGATGGCAAACCAAATAGAGACTGCTCAGCCTGAACAAATGCACGTCATCACCCTTTCCAAGGAAGCACTAGAACATCTCCATGCTCATCAAGGGCAAAATGGAGAAATCCATTTAGCAGGATCTTCCCATCCAGATTAGCACATGCAGCTGGCCCAGGAATCAAGTCAATCGTCTCACTCTAGCCAAGATACAGTTCCTTCTCACTGAATTAGTGAAGACTAGAATTAAAATGTATATATTTCTGAATCCTGCCAGGAGTCTGTGTCAGTAAATAAGTCAGCTCATGAGCATCTGTGTGGGAACTGTTGAGTCATGGCCTGAACCACTGATTAATCACCTGAGGCAAGGACTGGATCAGCCGTTGGAGCACAGGTGAAGGCAATTCAGCAGTGTGACCAGAAGGAGTGGAGTCTGGTTTCACCCCTCCTAGACCCCATTTAAGGACTGACTAACACTTTTCAGCAGCATCATCTTATCTGAACATGTCTTGGTGATTTTTGGTGGTGACTTTCCATTTTCTTGACCTTATTTATTTTAGACTTTTTTTATTGTTATCAGTTGGTATTTCTCCACCATTTAGTCCATACCTCACTAGCAATTAAAGCTTTTTTTTTTCCTGTGCCTCACACAAATCCATGGCTCCTGGGCAGTTACTTGACCCCTTATTTGCATTTCCATGTGATGTTCTAGGGAATTGTACTTTGCTGGCTGAAGAACAGTGTTAAGATGTCTGCTGATCAGAAACTACAATTTCTCTGATGGAGTCAACAGTACCTGAATTACTGTCAAGCTTAAGATAATGAGTATGATTTGCAAAGATAACGCCTTATATCTTACATCTAATGAACTTTCTCTTTGTGAGTTAATGTATAACTTTCTCTGTGACCATCCCCAAGTTGATGGAGGGAAGATTTAGGTTGGATGTTAGGGGGAAGTTCTTTACTAGGAGAGTGGTTAGGCCCTGGAACGGGCTGCCCAGGGAGGTTGTGGATGCCCCGTCCTTGGACGTGTTTAAGGCCAGGTTGGACGGGGTCCTGGGCAACCTGATCTGAATGTGTATGTTTGGTGGCCCTGCTAGGCAGGGGGGTTGGAACTACATGATCCTTGAGGTCCCTTCCAACCCGGGTGATTCTGTGATTCTGTGATTCTGTGATCCCCGTAAGTGCATTTTGATTTATTGAATACCAAATTTGGTTTGAGTTGAAATTATTTAAGCCTTTGGTTCTGAGTTGTCCTTTCTGTTTATGGTACTTTTGAAGAGTTTTGCTCCTCAGAAATGCTTCAGCCATTGCACTTGAATGGTGGCAGTGCAATGCAGTGATTATTCTGGACAGCTGAACAGCCCACATTCTGTTAATTCCACCACTCGCTCGCTGTGTGACAGTGAGCAAGGCAGTTGACCTCTGTGCCTTAGTTTCCCATCTATGAGGTGGGGTAATGTTCGCGCACTCTGCCAAGCACTTTGAAGAGCTCTTGATGTGGAAGGCACTGTCTATTGAAGTGCGGAATTCTCTTCCTGACAGGCCTCAGTCTAAGCTTAGGAGCCAGTTTCTATTTAAAGTGTTATTTTTTTGTACTTTTGAGAGCAGAATGTAATGTTACTTTTAATATATGTTCAAGCTGGTAATTATTCATGCCCCCATAAAAACAATGAATGGAACAACTTCAGAGCATAATGAGCTATATAAATGGGGCATATAGCGTTAAATTGTACGGCTATTTTTGTTGGCTAGATTAGATGTGTACAGATTGTTTTTAATGACTGCTGACAAAAAGAGATATGACAACTTAATAAAATGCCATGTCAGAGTTTTTGCTTTGCATCCAAGTTCAGCTACTGAGAACATCTCACTTAGTGTACTAATGTAAAATCCAGATAAAGATGCCACTGCTACTTAAAGCAACATTCTCAGTCCTCACTTTGGTTTTAAAATGTTGTGATTTACATTGACATCACTTTTACAAATGAAAAATCTAAAAAATTCGGGGATTACCAGGTAAAAACAAAACAAATTTATTGTGTGCTTGGCACACAAGGGAACTGGGCTTGTTCGGTCTGGAGAAGAGAAGGCTCTGGGAGGCCTTCCATACTTCAAAGGTGCTTCTAAGCAGGAGGGAGGCTGACATTCTGCATGGTCTGATAGAACCAGGCAAAATGGTTGTAAATTAAAAGAGGGGAGGCTTAGATTAGATATTAGGAACAAATTCTTTACTCAGAGGGTGGTGAGGCAATGGCACAGGCTGCCCAAAGAAGCTCTGGGTGCCCTATCCCTGGAGGTGCTCAAGGTCAGGTTGGATGGGGCCCTGAGCAGCTGAGCTGGGGGGTGATAACCAGCCCATGGCACAGGGCTGGAACTTTAATGGTCTTTAAATATCCCTTTCAACCCAAGCCTCTAGATTATTGTGTTTTTCTATATGATTGACCAGAGCCACTTGTGCTGACCAGTTTATAAATGACTGAACAAGCTAGGGTGGAAGGGACTTCCAGAGTCTATCTAGTCCATCATCCCGCTCAGTTTTGAACATTTCCAAAGATGGAGTTCCACAACTTTTCTAGGCCACTAGTTCCAGTGCTGGACCATAGTCATAGTGGAAAAAAAAGGTTTGTTATGTTTAACTGGAATTCCCCATGTTCTGCTTTGTGTCTGCTGCCTCTTGTCCTACTGCTACACCTCTAAGAAGTGTCTGGCTCTGTCTTCTCCATGCCCTCCATTTAGGCTGCTGAAGACAGCAGTAAGGTCCTCCCAAAGCATTCTAAGACCTGAACAAACTCAGCTATGTCAACTGCAGCTTTTTAGTCACCTTGGTGGCCTGTTGCTCTCATTCCAGTCGTCAGTGCATCCCACAGCAGAACTCTAATTAGGGTTTTCACCTTATTTTTCCCCCTTTTGGAACAGAGAAATGTAGTGTGCATGTTTTCTGTCACTAAAGAGAAGCAGCATTTGAGATAAATAGTCTGATGGTTTCATACTAACAACTTTGATTTTTACCTACAGTGCAGGTAATCTGAAATACTGTAGCACGTAACCACAAATACTGTCTTGTCATAATTTTGCAGAAGCAGTCGCACAGGGATTGCTAGGTGCTTTTTTTGTCTACAGTTAAAACAAGTGTTTGGTTTAGAATTCTCTTATCCTTTTTTTTCTACCAAATTACTCAACAAGCAGTGTAGGAATGAACAACACAGCAGCAGCTAATCTTTCACTCCGCATTGCTTAAGCTGTCAGCACACGTTTTTGCTTGCACTTGAGAAATTATAAGCTCACGTGGCTTCTCATACCACAAGCACTGCTTTCTGACACCATTTTCTTCATTTGTAGTGAATGCATTTCTGTTAATGCTGAAAATAAATCTCCTTTGTGTGCATTTTTAAGGCTACAACTGAAGCCTAAAAAATTGCTTTGAGTTTTAAAACCAACCCGCAGCTTTGCTTTTCAGTCCAGCTGTCAGTAATGTCACTAAGAACTGCTTAGCAAAAAACGTGTGCCCTTAAAACTGTGCTTCAGAGCTGCTCTCTTCAGTGTCTTTACTCCTTAGGTAAAATAAACACCTTAGCTTCTCATTTCCCTGCACAGGATAATCTTCTTAGCAAATCCATCCCATTGCTTACTATATTAAAATGAGGTTAGGATTTTGGACTTAAATGCAGGAAAATAAGTAACAACTGAAAGATCCGCTTTTGTGAGCAATTAACAGAATTTTATGTTGAGGCCACTACATTTGTGAGTTTCTCAGTGCATGTGACCTCTAAAGTGATTTTACTATTTTTTCAAATGCAAGTTTATGAAAAACTGTCTTTTTTTTTTTTTTTTTTTTTTTTGCTGAAGGTTTTGACAGATTCCCCAGGTGAAACTTTAAGCAAATTCCCATGGGGTTCCCACTCTGCTGAAGTGTGTGCCTGGCTATTGTGTGTGTGCTTACCCTCCTTCCTAATTATATTCATGCTGGAGCTGTAAATGACACTCAACCTCAGCAATATAAAGTTCAAAAGGGTATGCAGTTCTGCATCCAGGAGCTGAGATGCTGTCTCTGTCAGGAGCTGAGATGCTGTCTCTGTGTGCCTTCTGTTTTTGACAGATGAATATGAGAGCATTCATATGAGCTGTGAAAACAAATTAGGAAAAGCTTCAGCTTCGCAGGTTGGTTTTGCAGGGTTTTTTTTGTTTGTTTGGTTGGTTTAGTTGTTTGGTTTAGTTTGTTTTTGTACTTGTTTTATGCTCTTTGGTGCTCAGAGGGACAACCAGGGGAGGGGTTTTACAGCAGTGCAAGAAGAGCTGTCGACTATCTCATGGGAAGCTCTTGTAAACTGAATGTCTATGTTCAGGCTGAAGCTGGGGATGTTGAGCCTGGCATCGATCTTGTCAGTTGTTCAGGAAAGAGACTGGCTTGCTACCTGCAGTAAAACTATTGCTTTCCAATTCTCCTCCTTTTCGAGGTCCTTTTCAAGAGTGGAACTAGTGATGCTGTACTTCCCACAGCTGTGGTATAAGGACCTCTTTCAGCCATGCTTCAGGGGTTTGATGAGGCTGCTTCTCCCAGACCTGCGGTTCTATTAGCTGTGGGAGTCCTACACAATCCTTCATCCATTTTCAGATCTTCCATAAAAAAATGGTGAACAATGAATGTTTTTTTACAACAGGTGGACCACTGCTCATCTCTGGCCCAGGCAATTCTTCCCAATGGAAAAAAAAGAAATCCAGGCGTATTCTAAATGTAACAGCATCTCCAGCATCTCACTGCGGTATAATAATAATAGCTTGCCACTATTTCCTGGCTAGTATTTTAATCCCACCAAACTGAAATTACTATTGGAGTAGGTTCATTCCTAGAGGGCACTGCTCCTGGCAGTGTACAGCTTGGTTCTTCCCATTCTTGAAGATCACCATGTTGTTTGCTTTGACTGCTGGCTGGTAACAGCAGCATTTCCTCCACAAAGTATTTACCTGACAGCAGCTGGTACAAAGCAACAGTGGTTGCTTTCCTTCGCAGCACGCCCTGTTGTGGTCCAGCAGCTCTAGCAGAGGAGCTGTGCAGCATTTCCTCTCCACCTATTTGCTATGAAGCTCTTTTGTATTTGTGTCTTCAGCAAGTGTTAGTCTTTCCCTAGCTTCTAGCTGGGCACTGCTGCAGTCGTTGGGCTGTCCTACTGCTACTGGGTGCCCCTTCCAGTTTTCCTGCCAGCACATCTTCATTTCAGCCTGGAGAATAGAAGGCTGAGAGGTGACTTGATAGCGGCCTTTCAGTATCTAAAAGGGAGCTACAGGAAGAAGGAGAAAGACTCTTTAGCAGTGTCTGTGGTAATAGGACAAGGGGACATGGCTTCAAGCTCAAAGAGGGTAGATTTAGGTTAGATTTAAGGAAGAAATCTTTTACAGTGAGGGTGGTGAGGCACTGGAACAAGTTGCCCAGAGATGTGGTTGATGCCCCATCCCTGGGAACATTCAAGGCAAGGGTGGATCAAGCCCTGAACAATCTGACTTAGTTGTGCATGTCCCTGTTCATTGCAGGGGAGCTGGACTAGATGATCTTTAAAGGTCCCTTCCAACTCTAGGGATTCCATGATTCTATGTGGCAGCTCTCACTCAGTGTTGTGGACAAATCCCATCTGCCTCTCCCTCAGTGTCTCCTCAATGCTGTCTTGGACTAAAAGGAGCTGCAGTGGCAGCAGGCACAGCTGGTAAAAACACCTTGGAAGAGCAAGCCGTCAGACCCAGGAAGGAAAGCTTGGGCTTGTGCATGCATTTCAAAGATCTCCATGTTTCCAAGAACATCAGCTGCACGGTCTGTGAAAGGATCATCTTTTCAATGTACTGTACACTGCTTGCACCTGCCACGCTCTCCCTCACTGTAATTCCCACTCTCAGGCAAGCACAGGGCTGTGTGAGCAAACTGCTCCATGAGCTCTTAGCTCCCACAAGCCATTCACAAGCCATTAAAGTACTGTCACTAAGCTTCCAAAACAGTATCATATATATTTATGTATTTATTTATTTAGAAAATAAAGAAAAAGGAATAGGAATCAGTCTTATCTATGCATGGAATTAAATTTCAGGAACAGTGAGTGTAAATTTAAGCACACGTAGGAAATAATGGCATAAATTTTTTGTTTCAAAATAGTATGCGGTTGATTGCTTTGGTTTTAGTTTTTATGTTTTGTAGTGCGACAAGAAGGAAAGAGGCATTTTAAAAGCCCAAACTTCAGTATGTGTATCAAGGTAAATATAGAGAATAATGGAGACAAAGAGAATATTTTCTGAAGTGTATCTTAGTTTATATTTGACTCTGGGTATGTTGGTTAACTTTGGGCTTTATATAGGGCTACTACAGAAGTTTGGCTGGAGCACAAGCTGTATGATCATTCTACTAAAATTAGGCTCTGCTTGTCACAGGCTGCAGAAGCTTTGGAGCCATCATGCTGGCCTGAGGCAGGAGAAAGAAAAGAGCTCCCTTTTCCCATTCCTTTTCCTTGATTCTCTCTTTCCTCATGGAATCTAACAAACAGCTGTAGTTGAATCCTCCAACGTGCTGTGTTTAGTTAGAGTCATATCTCAGCTTGTTCTCTGTCACGCTTTGTGTGAGTAGTGCAAGTTAAAGCCCTGTCTCTATATGGGATTTTAATATGTCAAAAGTGATATTTTTTCCTATTGGAAACATGAAAAAGCTAATAGCTTCCTCTGTAACATGCAACCCAGCACAAGTGAAACAGCAGCAACTCCAGCTGAGCCCATGGCCATCCCACAGACTGCATTTGTGTTGGATGGATGATTTAGCAGAAAGTGACCAGACGTGCGAGGGCAGCAGAAAACTTTGCTGTGACAGCCACGACCCCTCCAGAACTGCTTTGTGGATGCACTGTGCTGTGTTCAGCATGGGAACCGTGATCTCACATGCCGCTGCAGCGTGCTGCTGGGAGCTCCCTTGGGGCAGATGCTTCTTTATCAAGGGCGGTACTAAGCTGTAGATCTCACTACTGTGGGACTTTTCCATTTGGACAAGAGATAAATAAATGCATACTGAAAAGATCCACTGAGGAGGAACTGAGTGCTAAGGTACTGCAAAACCCCAACGCAGCAGCTGGCCGCAGGCTGGGAGGGCAATGGGGAAGCAGCAGTGCTGTGTTTGCTCCCCCGTGCACCTTTTGCTGGGCATCTGCTGTCAGCCACTGTCAGGATCAGGATTCTCATCCCAGGACAATCCTTTAAATGCTGCAGCACTCAGGGGATCAGTAACAAGATCTGGGTGCCAGCTCCTGCAGTTCTGTAAGCATGTGTTGCATGTCATCCACTTTTTCTTTCTCCTCAGTAAAAAGAGAAATTGGGCATTCCCTAACTTTCTGTAGAGTTCTACAGGATGTATGCGTGCTGCAGGCAGGCTCTGCCCCCCCACCCCCTTCCCTTTCCACCCTCCTTTCCCCTCCTCCTTGCTGTGTTGCCATGGTGCTGGGCCCTGTTGACAAAGAGTTGCTATGGATGGTGAGTGGCTGCCCTTGGTGGTGGAGGTGACCGGCTTGCTCCAGGACCCAGCTTTCCACGTAGCCAAGTGCACAGCAGAGGTAACTGGGAGCAGTGGGGAGTATTGGAATGAATGGAATTGGGGTGGGAGGGCCTGGAAGCCCCAGGGATGCTCCACGGAGCTGGGTATAGCTGAACAGTCCCACATAACACACAGTAGAGCCATGCACAATGAAGTCCTGCCTTGTCCCACATCCTCGCCCCTGGGCTCAGTCACCTACAGGACTGCAGCTGTTAAAATGCATGCTGATGACGCTCAGATATCTTTGAATGTCTTGCTGCTTGCAACTATCTCATGTGGCATAGGAGGAGAGTGTAATTCATATTTGTGAAGCAGACATTTTTACAAAATCTCCCACAACATTTGTGAGCAGGTGTTCAGAGCAGTTTGTGCTTCTGCAGGTGCCAGGAATTACGCCAGTGCAGGATGGGTGTAATGCAATCATTGGACTTACTGAGGATTTGGCTTAGGTTGTAATTAATTAGGGAAGTGCAAGCATGGATAGGATGGATGGGTGGAGCTATTATACTGCTTGTAAGCAATCCGTTTTTCCACATTTGGTATATCTAGGCGCTGAAGCTGAAGTTTCCAAGCAAGTTTGCAGATCCTGTAGTACATCCTTTATTAGAATTTGCATGGAATGAATATTTACAGAAGAAAAAGAAGGTAACTCTTACAACTATTAGATAGCTGCATGTCTATAATTAAGTAGATCTTGGCTTATGAGTAATAGAATATCCTGAGTTGGAAGGGACTGTATGGATCATTAAGTCCAACTTCTGGCTCCACACAGGACTCCCTAAAAATGAAAATATATGTCTGAGCATGCTGTGCAGGAGATTCTTCAGCTCCAGCAAGCTCAGCGTTATGACCAGCCTGGGTAGCCTGGCAGCATGTTCTGTGCCTGATCACCTTCTCATGAAGAAGCTCTTCCTAACACCCAGCATGACTCTGCCCTAATGCAGCTCCATGCCGTTTTCTTAGGTCTTGTCCCTAGAAAGGTAAAAGTCCAGCTTAAATTCAACCTGGCCACTGTAGTAAAAGAACAAAAACCTTTTTTACAAATATATTAACGGTAAGATGAGGGCTAAGGAGAGAAAATCTGTCTTCTACTGGATGTGGCAGGGAACGTGACCACTGAGGATAAGAAAAAGGCTGAGGTTCTCAATGCCTTCTTTAGATCTGTCTTTAAAAGTCAGACCAGTTATCCTCAGGATACTCTACCTCCTGACCTGGAAGTCTGGGATGGGGGGCAGAATAAACCACCCTCGATTCAGGTGGAAACAGTTAGAGACCTACTACTCCTCCCTCTGGTGGAGTGATTCCCAAGCAGCTTTCTACCATCTGTCAGCATTCTTGGTCAGACAGAGAGATCCCAGAGGATCGGAGGCTTGCCAATGTGACTCCTATCTGCAAGAAGGGTCATAAGGAGGATCCACGGAACTATAGGCCTGTCAGCCTGACCTCAGTACCAGGAAAGGCTATGGAGCAGATCATCTTGAGCAAGATCACGCAGTATGTGTGGGACAACTGGGGGATCAGGCCCAGCCAGCATGGGTTCACAAAAGGCAGATCTTGCTTGACCAGCCTGATCTCCTTCTCTACTTCTGTGATTGAGTGACCCACCTGGTGGATGAGGGAAAGGCTGCTGACATAGTTTACCTAGACTTCAGCAAAGCCTTTGATACTGTCTGCCACAGTATTCTGTTGGAGAAGCTGAGTGCGCCCTCAGTTTAAGTTTGCAGATAACACCAAGCTGGGAGGAAGCGTCATCTGCCTGAGGGTAGAAAGGCCCTTCAGAGCCTGGACAGGCTGGATCACTGGGCTTAGGCCAGTGGGATGAAGTTCAAAAAGACCAAGTGCTGGGTTCTGCACTTTGGCCACAACAACCCTGATTAACGCTACAGGCTTGGGGCAGAGTGGCTGGAAGACTGTGAGGAGAAAGTGGACCTGGGGCTGTTGGTCGATGCATGGCTGAACATGAGCCAGCAGTGTGCCCAGGTGGCTGAGAAGGCCAATGGCATCCTGGCTTGTATCAGAAATAGTTTTGCCAGCAGGAAGGGGACTGTCCCTCTGTACTCAGCTCTGGTGAGGCTGCACTTCGATTACTGTGTTCAGTTCTGGGCCCCTCATTACAAGAAAGACACTGAGGTCCTGGAGCATGTCCAGAGAAGGGCAATGAAGCTGGTGAGAGGTCTGTAGCACAAGTCTTATAAGGAACAGCTGAGGGAATTGGGATTGTTCAGTCCGATGATGAGGAGGCTCAGGGAAAGACTTTATTGCTTTCTACAGCTCCCTGAAAGGAGGCTGTGGTGAGGTGGGAGTTGGCCTCTTCTCCCACATAGCTAGTGATAGGACAAGAGGGAACGGCCTCAAGTTGAGCCAGGGGAAGTTCAGGATGGATATTAGGAAAAAATTCTCCAAAAGAGCTGTCAGGTGATGGAAAGGGCTGCCCAGGGTCACCATCCCTGGAGGTGTTCAAGACATTTTTAGATGTTGTACTAAAGGACATTTTTGAGTGGAGAAATATTGGTGGTAGGTGTATGGTTGGACTGGATGATCCTTGAGGTCTTTTCCAACCTTGGTCATACTATGATTCTAACAGCTTAGCAGTGCCCCTCCACTCCCTGTGAGAAGTTGTAGGCCACCATTTGGCCTCCCCTCCATGTCTTCTGCTCTGGGCCAAACAAACCAAGAGATCTCAGCTACTCCTTGCTTTACTCCTTGCCTCAGTTGCCCAGCTGCCGTGCCAGCTTTCCCTTCCAGCACACCTCACCAAAACCGCTGCAGATTCTCTGGGTTGGCAAGTTTTATGAGTTCAAAAGTAGGAGAAGCACAAAAATACCACAGGGCACTTTACCTTGTTTGTACAGCACTACCAATTGCATCTTTACTAAATGTGAAAATAACCCCTTGAGGCTCTGTGCTCTCCCTCTTCCATGCAGGAGCTGAGAGGCGAGGTGTGGGGATATGCCTCCTGTGTGATGTGCTTTGTTAATGGAAGGCTGCTGGGCGATGAGAAGGAGTTGCTCAAGTGGGCCTACTGCAAATGGGGCTACCGCGATTTTAAGCCTGAGGCCCTTTACCAAGCAATCACGGAGGATTTCTACACCAAACACCTGAAGAGCAGCCAGGCAAGTAACGTGGTTTTACAAGAGTGCAAGGTGTGTTAACCAACTGAGTGCATTATCACAGAATCTCAGAATCGTAGGGGTTGGAAGATACCTGTGGAGATCACTGAGTACAACTCCCTGCTAAAAGCAGGTTCCCTACAGTAGGTTCCCCAGGAAAGTGTCCAGGTGGGTCTTGAACATCTCCGGAGAAGGAGACTCCACAGCCTTTCTGGGCAGCCTGCTCCAGTGCTCTGTCACTCTCACAGTAAAGAAGTTTTTCCTCACGTTCATGGAAACTTCTGAAAGTTCCAGTTTGTGCCTGTTGTCCCTTGTCCTGTCACTGTGTACCACCAAAAAGAGCCCAGACCCATCCACTTGACTCCTGCCCTTTAGATATTTACAAGCATTGATAAGATCCTCCCTCAGTCTTCTTTTCTCCAGGCTGAAGAGTCTCATGTCTCTCAGCTTTTCTACATAAATGAGATGCTCCAGATCCCTTATCATCTTTGTGGCCCTCCACTGGACTCTCTCTAGAAGTTCCCAGCCTTCTTCAACTGGGAAGCCCAGAAGTGGACATTGTACTCCAGATAAAACACAGTACTCAGTTGAAGCACAGCAAATATCACAATGATTCCATGTGGATTTGAGAATTAAGGGCAGTGATCAAGAACTGTCCCTCTTGGTGGGGTGATGGCTGTTCTTGCTAATTCACTTATCCTGCCCATATCATATCCTGCCCAGGGAGGTGGTGGAGTCGCCATCCCTGGCAGTGTTCAAGAGGCGCCTGGATGAGGAGCTACGAGATGTGGTTTAGTAGCTTCTGGTACTAATAGGAATGGGAGGGTGGTTGGACTAGATGATCTTGTAGGTCGTTTCCAACCTTGCGATTCTGTGATTCTGTGATTCTGTGATATGGGCCACAACAGGCACACAAACAAGTACAGGGTGAAGATGGCTCTAACACTGCAGGATTATTTCTGCCCAGAAGAGTGAAACATCCTTTGCCTCTGTTTGTTTAAACAAAGCAATAGGAATATGGTTCTGTGCTGACCATCCCGCAGACATGCTGAGATGGCTCACACTGAGCTGCTGGCATTGACCTGTGTTAGAAAGGAAGGGCTGCACTGAAAGTTGGCCTTCACCTCACTGGATTTGTTTTTCTGGCTCAAACAGCACATGTTTGTGTATTTGGACATAACCATTGAGGAGCAGCCCATTGGGACACTTCTGTTTGAGGTAAGTGGCTGAGTAGAACAGCAAAAGCAAAGAGTAAAGATACCAAACATTGGGTTTTCACTTCCTGAGGGAAAGGAGGCTGAAATCTGGACAGCTGATGTCAGTTATGAATTTCATATTTTTTCTCTCATACTCATTTTACAGCTCTTTTCTGATGTATGCCCCAAAACCTGTGAGAATTTCCGTGTTCTGTGCGAAGGAGGAGTGATGTCTGCCAGCAGTGGTCAAGAGCTCACTTACAAAAATTCCTGTTTTCATCGGTTTGTAAAACCCGTGTGGATCCAAGGAGGAGGTGCATTTCCAAATGTCCTGAGTAAATTTGGGTCACAGCAGAACTGGGACAGGATGACCAGCATGGGTTATAGTCCAAGCAGATGTAACCGAACTAAAGCTAATGTCTTATTAAGAGCAGGATAAGATTTTAATACATATGAAAACTGGAAAGTATTTTCTCCTTTAGCCATCTCACTCTCTAAATAGAGGAAATGTATAGATAACTTGTTCTTTTTATGATTCAACACTTCTTCAAAAGATCTTTCACTAAGTACTTAGAAAACTAAATGAAAACGTTAAAACACTAGGAATAGCCACAGGAAAACATATTACTTGTTTTATTGAGAGATTAACTTATGAAGGCACTTAGTCAAGTCTCAGAGCCATGCCAGACATGCTGGTGAGCTGCTTGAGCAGCAGAGCCATGCCTGGAGTCAGGCACTGCGTACAGAGGAGAAAGGCACTATGAAGATCTCATAACAGAGGCTGTCTGACACCCTGAGAGAGGACAAGATACAGAGCTGTATCAGATTGCCTTCATTACTCACTCCCGTTTGGCAATCATCTGTCTTACCTACCTGTATTTCTTACCCACATTTGCCCTGCTACTCCAAGTGGGACTGCTCAAATCCATTTTTAGGTTATACTTTGAAGATGAACTTTAAAAGTCCAAGAATGTCTAAGCAGCTATCTATGTAGTCCACAAAGCAACCTAAAATTATTACCTTGCCCATCAGAAATCTTTTTCCATTTCTCTTTTACCAAATCATTTTTCTCAGGCAAGTTAGCAGTATTAATCTGCCATAACATCATAGCTGCGTTTTCCCCCTTCCTTGCTCTAACTGCAACCGATGCCCTTCTCCCAGCCTGCCCCTACCTTGGCTGATGCAGTGATCCATAAAAAGTTCTCCCAAAAAGTCTGTTAAAATGTTGGTATTAAAAGAGTAATTTTGGCTCCCCTGGAAGATGGGCAACTCATGTCTCCAAGCTCTGCTGGAGCCATTATGATAACCTTGAGCTATGCCCGTGATCCACCTGACCTCTGATTGTTACTCCATGTCTACCCAACAGACATAACTGGGAAAGGAGATGGAGGAGAGTCAATTTATGGTCCCACATTTGAAGGTATGTTCTCTAAATAACCTCACTGCACAAATGTCAAATTTCAACAAAAATCAAGCTGTTTATCTGATCTTACAGAATAACCTGAAGATTTCCCTTTGTTTCCCTAGAGGAAATGGTTTGTTTTTCAGTGAGATTTTGGCTTAAGAACTGACTTGCTGTCTTGGTCCCTGCACTGGATGCTCAGCTCCACCAGTCCTTTTCCCCACCAAAATCAGGGCAGAGGGTCACCTGCCTGCCTGCTTCAAACTGCAAACGCTCACACAGAAGTGAATTAGCTGCAGATCTCCAGGCAGCTGATACCTTTTGCTTAAATATGTTTAAAGTAATGGAAGTGAGTTGGCTTTAACTCCAGATTTCCTGGATCTCAGGCAGCTTTTAAGGCTCGTGCACACCACATGCATTGCCACTATCAGTTCTGCAGGTCCAAATGTGAATTACTTCTGAATCCAACTGAATGTAGAATGCCTATAAGGATGTGAAGGTTGGGAAATGACAGGTGTGAGCAAATTTAACAATAAATGTTCCCCCTGCTGATAGGAAGTAATTAGATATAAGGAAAAAAGAACATTATTACATGCAATATTTAAGAAAAATAATCCATGTAATTGACATAGACATTTGGGATATTCTGTTTGGATTAAATGCTACCCATAAAGACATTTTAGGTCAGCTACAGCGCTTCTGAAACTGATTTATGTTCTCTTATGTAAAAGCTTTCTTACTGACAGCGTCACTACCAATGTTACACTTGAGCAGGCTGGGCAGCAGCCAGCAGTGAGATCAGAAGTGCCAAGTGTCGCTGAAAACTTTATTTTCAAAGGCAGCGAAGAGCTCGCTTCCACCTCGAGGCTATGGGACCAAGCCAAAGCAGGCTGGAATTGAGTAGCCAGGCAGGTTTGAGCTCTGCTGCCCAGGGCTCTGGTTCTTCTCCTTTTTCTTTAAAAGCTGCACATTGCTTTTCATCCCCTAGCAAGGTGTTCACTTGGGTATGCCTATTTTAAGGCTTAGATTGCTTTCCGAGTTCTTCCTGCCAAACTATTTACACAGAGGGCAGAGGACAAATATCTTTGATATATGCAAGCAGTGACAGATGCCTCTGTCAGATGGTGAAACTTTTCTGCAAAACTGGGTGGCTGGCACGCCTCCATTCATTGCAATGCCTGCTGAAATTAATGGGACGCAGCTACATTTTACTGTGACAAGCTCAAAGTACTGAGGTAATTACAGAGAATCACTTGGACAGGAGAGCCGTGTCATAGCACAAAGCATTCTAATCCAAAATTAGACTGCTGAAGATGTTTTGCAAACCACAAGTCAGCAGTCAGGGAGTAACAATTCAGTTAACATTTAATTACCGTTTTTATGAAACAGCTTCGGAGAAAGGGTAAAAATTATTTTTAAAAGTGATAAAATCCAAATATTTTAATTGGCTTCTTTGCCTGCTTGAGAACTGAATATTAGTGGGAAGATGCTTCAAGGAAGGACACTGGTTCATACCAGACTTTACTAACACTTGACTTGATGAGGGACCTTTGTAGAAAAAGGAAAAGGGCGAGTGGGAAAGAAAGACATGGGAGGTTATGGGAGCTGGAAGCAAAGAGGAACAGAGAAAGCAGTACAGATTCTGCCTTTTATCCCTGAACTCTTTTCCCAGATGAAAACTTTGCCATCCCTCACAAGGGAAGAGGAGTCCTTGGGATGGCTAACAAGGGCCGCCACAGCAATGGCTCCCAGTTCTACATCACGCTCCAGCCAGTTCCCTACCTGGACAAAAAATGTGTGGCTTTTGGGTATGTATGCACAAGCTTGCATCTGCTGCAGCACATAGGTTACCCTAGCTCTGCAGGACATGGCAACTGCAACATGGATATCTCTGGCCAGGGAGAGGATGGATAAGTCACATTTGATGTGTCTAGTGACACCCTTTTTTCCATTTATTTGCCCTGGCCTGGCTTAATCAAGCTGGAAAACCCAATGGCAAAGCTAAGAGAGCTGCTGGAATCTCTCAAGGACAAAGGCTGCAAAGAGGTGCTTGCATAGCTTGGTGTCAGCTGAAGGTGTGTCCTAATGGGCTTGGAGCAAAGCCTCTAGTTTCTGCTCAGCCCTCGTGGCCAAGATAAATTGTTTTAGTGAATGTCTATCTCAGTAAATTAATGCAGGGCTGGCTCTGTTGGGATTTTCAGCTTTTCATAAATGTAATGAGGATGATCATTGCTCTGTGCAGTTTGCTTCAGAAAGAGAAATCTGCTGTGCTGCTTTCATGTCGCTGTTACAGATAGTATTTTGGAAGGACATGAAAAGCATGACTGCCTAAGCTACAGTGAACAAGCCAGGTTGGTGGCTGGCTAGATAGATTTCCAACCCATGGTGTTTACCTTCAATTCCTGCCTTGCCACCAGCTGTGTAATCTGGAAGGTGCAGGATCCTTGAGCACAATTGACCTCTGTTACGAGGCTAATCTTTGCAGGACAAGCTCTTAATTAACATATAGAAAAACTGGAAAACATTTTCTCTTGTAGCCATCTCACTTTCAAAACAGAGGAAAAGTTCAGATAATTTGTGCTTTTAATTACCTAAGCCTTTTTCGAAAGATCTTGAAAACTGTAAAGATTGCAGAATGTTGGACTGTTTTCAAGGATTCAGGTTGGCATTGCAAAGGGAGGAAATGAAAGGTATTTCTCAGGGAAACACTTCCAATAACTGTCACTTCTGATAACATAGTTTTTTACTTCTTTCTCCTCAAAATTAATGGCCATTCATAGCTGGTACAAGACTTGTTTCTTTAAATAAATGTAACTGCCATAACTCAGTATTTTCATATCCCCTAAAAAGCTAAACAGCAACTATTTAATCAAGAACCAATGGTGTTTTTTACCCCATTGTGAAGAATAAAGAGCAGAGCCCGCCTGGCTTTGTTATGGTGGTTGCAGAGCTGGCTTCAGGGACAGGGGATACTGCTCAAGCAGCAAAGGTGGATCAAAGCTGCTATTCCTCCCTACTGCAGGCAACTGATTGAGGGCACAGAGGTTCTCCAGCAACTGGAAACTGTACCAACGTATAATGAAAGGCCCAGAGTGGCCTGCAAAGTTACGAAGTGTGGGACTTTCCAGCCATGATCACCAACTGGTTTGCAGCAAGGTAGAGCACTGATTTCTGCTCAGCTTTTTACAGACCTCAACGGCTTTCATGTAAGATAAAATAAACACTTCTCGCAAATGTGAATGTGTTGGAATCGTCATTTTGACTCAGTTTAAAAAGTGTTTGTAGGCTGTTAAGAGCACTTTTATATGAGTATACAGAAAAAAAATGTGAACATAAAGTATAGAAAAAGACTTCTGCCAGTCTACAGTTTCTGGATAATAGCTTAGTATGATTATATAGTGACAGGCAGACACAATACTGCTGGAACACTCGCAGAGGGATAAAGCCAACCAATCTTGGCTAAATTCTGGCTCTACCACCAACCTCCACACAGCACAAAGTGCAGCTCAGGGCACCACTGCCCAGCACAGCTCTGACTTGAAGTGTAGCCTACATGCTGTAACTCAGATATATCAGAGAAAGGCAGAAAAAAGTGTTTGCAGGACTGAGGTATCTCTGAATGCCAGACATTTGACCCTGCAGCGACTGCTGTGAGCTAAAATAAATACCTTTGAAATCAGGCTGAGCTACTTCAGGCAAAAATGAGAAATGTTAAAACAGGTGTAAATTTCAAGTGATTATTTTTGATTAAAGTCATTATTGTCACTAAACCAGAGTAAAATCTTGTTTATAAATTTACTGCACAGAAGGAAATTTTAAGGTTACCTGTGGATGAAAATATGTAATACACAACTGATTGCTGGTGTTGATGATCTCATACATGCAAGATGTCTCTGAAGATCTGTGCAGAGCCTGGGTGCTGGTGGTCTCAGCAAGGAATGGCAAAGAAGCACTAAAAGAAAATGAAAATGCAGCCTGGAGAGAGGCCACAAGGAAGTGCTACAGGAAGCTCGTAGGAAAGAACAGCAACTCTGAGAGCTGTGTCAGGGCTGTGCAGACACGGTCAGCTTAGTGATCTCCAGCCTGCATTTCCAGCACCACACAGACACTGTGCCAGGGGGAGCGACCTTTGCTCCTGCACTGAGCTCTCTGTGTGAGCTGTTCAAATCTGCAAAACGAGGCCATCCAAGTTGGGAGAGGTGGAATTAGCAAAGTATGAGGAGAAACCCATTTTTTGTCTGAGCTTAAGATGAGATTTCAGGAAAAGCAGCATTCTGATGCTTCTTTGCTAAATGGGGATGAATTTAACAAATTGCTTAGCAAGTTGGTTAACTTAGTGCTTGAAGAGTCCGCAGACCTACAGTGATCCCACATGCTTTGAGGGAGCATAATGAACACCTTCACTTTAGCAAGGGGATTCAGGTTTTTCTTCAGTTATTGTGAGAAACAAAAATTTAAAATATACAGACGTCTGCAGATGGCTAAGGAGCTGTCAACACATTTTCTTCTTTTATTCTCTAAATAATTCTGAAACCTATACATAGACTGCTGCAGAGGAACTAAGTTAACTGTAGGCAATTTTCAAATCAAACTGTCTGGAGAATAATTATTTTTACTTCAAAGTCCTGTGGTAAAGGTGAAAATAAACAAAATAGAACAGTATATTTCCTGACAAATTTCTTTTCATGAGCAGTGGAGAAAATGCTGTGACAGGGTACGGCTTCAAAACTCAGTATGGGGATGCAGATTAACAGCTCCTATTTTTTGCAAGGACTTTAAATCATATGCACATGTCTGAAGGTGAAAGAAAAGTCATTTTAGTTCTTCTGCAGGTTATAGAAGAAAATTCTAAAAGGACAATTCATCAACTTCTTATTTGAAGACAAGTCATTTGTTACTGTTTACTTGGCTTCTGCACTGAGACCTGTCTACAGCCCTCTTACTGAGCTACTTCAAACTTTCAGCAGGCTGTATCCACAGGGCACAGCAAAAGTTCTCTACTGCTGTCTGGCTTGCTTGTGGCAAGTCTGCTCTGCAGCATGGCTGTACCACTGTGTCCCCACTGTCCCCACAAGAGCCTGAACCAGAGCACAGCGTGTGCTTCAAGTCCAAAGGACCTGACCTGAGCAGCAGTCGGGGCACAGCAACACTGCTCTGGAGATGGGCAGTGTTCGGGATCCCACAGGGTAGCAAAGGCCTGCTCACATCAGGCATCAGAAAGCTGATCCTGTGCCAAAGAACATCGATCTGACAAAAAAGTACAGTGGCTGGGTGTACGACATACTAGGTGGGGGACAACTGGTTGGAGTTACACCGGGTGGAAAACATTATAACAAAAGGAGGAGAAGGCAACCAGGACATGTTTTGAATTTTAGGCATAATGATCCTGCAGTCCAGCAACAATTACATTATTTGTATCCGTCCAGACAGGACACTCTACCAGCAAAACTGTGGTGAAATCCTTCATCCAGTATTGAGGAGGTCACTTAAAAGAAGGAGTGTGTCCTTCAACCCTGCTTCTCCAGTTGGTGCAAGTTGGATACACTTGAGGAGGTCTGGGTGATGAACAGTAAACAGAAAGGGAATAATCTTGTTCATAATGTTAACCTCACACCTAAAAGTTGTGTTTTATCACATTTTCTTTTGTAACCCACATCTCTGATGGCTGCCTCGTGTTCTTTGAGAGCCTGTCCAGCACAGTGGGTGGGTCTCAGCTGCCCAGGAGAAGGGTTTTGTCCTTCTGCCCCATCTCACCTCTCCCCATCTCACTTTTCTTCTTGCACCTTTATATAATGGTATGAAATATCCAAATACACTTTGGATGGCGTATTTTCCTCGTTAAAACATCAACTTTGTCTTTACATTTCATGTATACTTGCCATGCAGATGAAATGACACTTTGGAAATGAACACAAATATTTGCAAACTGAACCAAATACATTTTCCTTTCAGTTAATCTGCTATTTTTACTTCCACTCATTGCCACCATCCCAAACTGTGGGAGACTCCCCCTGGCACCTCTTCAGAAGCCCCATCATTACATCATGCTCACCACTACTGATGCAGGGTGATCTGCTGAGATTTCTGGGCATTTACTACATTTCAGATGTGCTTCCCTAAAACGGACATCTGCAGACCCTTAAGTTTTACCCATTTTTGCCAAGTACTTTACATATATTTCCAGTAACACAGTGGTTGCATCCTGACATTCAAAGCAGAGGTAAATGCTTTACTAACCACTAAGTATATAACAGTGCAATGAGAAACGAATACACTGATGAGTCTTGTATTTCAAATCCAATAACAACAACCCCAACTGCTGTGGTCCTGCTGACCATATTCCTCAACAAAGTCCCGAGATGCTGACTGTAAGAAAAAACAGACAAACCACAGTTATCACTCACTTGGATTCCTACCAGCCCCAGGATTACAGGACAGACATATTTTCACTCACTTCTGGAGACAAGCTGTAGCTGTAATTCTTGCCCTGACAGCAGTCCTCTATTTTTATTTATCTACTTTATTTTCTCCCTGTTTTCCACATGTATACACACTGTTCTTTGTCAATCACATTTAACATATGTCCTCTTTGTTTTCAGTCTAAAAAGGGCAGAAGTTTAGTGTGCTGTCCTCATGAAATGCAGGCTGCAGCCAGCATGACACTTCACGTTAAGCCTCACTAAAACAAAACACTGTACAAACTGCTGAAAATAGACTTAGTGCCATAATCACAGTATTGTAGGGGTTGGAAGAGACCTCCAGAGATCACCGAGTCCAACCCCACAACCTGCAAGAATTGCAAAAAGAGAAAATGTGAGCTCAAATAATGCCTGATGTCTGGTGAAATCACAACAGATCACCCAGTCAGAGATGTCCAGCAGAATTCCATAAGATATCCTTTGTCCCAGGGCATGAAACCCTCTGTGGCATGGCCAGGGCGGATGGGAGGCAGTCACAGGAAGCTCCCACCTTCTACATTTGCAGCACGTGGCAGTATCTATTTATGCTGTTTTGTTTTACATTCTTCTGATTCAAAGTCATAGCAGAAACACTGTATTTTAATAATGGCTGTGTAAACTCTTTCTTTGCATTTGAAAGCCAGCAATTTTAATCATTTACAGGAGTAAGTGGTCTAAGTCACACTGGCACTTCAGCAAAAGCATGTGCAGGCTGAAAGGTCACTACCAGTGCGTGTGATTTCTCTACCTTTGTCACTTTCCAGAGTTGAATTCAAAAGCCACTAAAATTCACAGCCAAAAAGATCATAGAATCCTCTGAATTGGAAGAGACCTTTAAAGGGCCATCTAGTCCAACTCCCCTGCAACGAACAGAGACACTACAGATAGATCAGGTTGTCCAGAACCCTGTCCAACCTGATCTTGAATGTCCCAGGGAGTGGGCTTCCATCACATATCTCAGCACCCTTTCAATGCCTCACTACTCTTATGATAAAATCTTCTTCCTTATATCCAATCGAAATCTCCCTTCTTTTCATTTGAAGCCATTTCCCCTTGTCTTATTACCACAGACCCTGCTAAAAAGTCCGTCCCCTTCCTTCTTATAGCCCTACTGAAAGGCCTGTTTAAAGTCTCCCCAGAGCCTTCTCTTCTCTGGGCTGAATAGCCCCAGCTCTCAGCCTGTCCTCATAGGAGAGGTGTTCTATCCCTTGGAACATTTCTGTGGCCTTCCTCTGGGTGTATTCCATCGTTTGGATGGATTCCAATAGGTCTGCATCTGCCCTGTACTCAGGACATCACATTTGGACACCCCAGGTCATCTCACCACAGCTTCTGAGAGGTGCCTGCTTACATTCATTTTCTGTGCTGTTTTCTTTGCAACCTTTCCCTGGAAGACTCATTTGCAGGAAGGCGATGCACGAGCCATCCTACACATCGCATAACAGCTTGGAGAGAAACATCTCCACCCAAATCATGAACTATCAGTAGTCCTCCAGAGCCTTCCAGAACTCACGACAGGTGGCTCATCTTCAGATTTCAATGTTGTTCTGGTCTCCTGGCAGTGTAACACCACCTGGCAAGAAAGGAGAACGGAAGATTAAGTTTATAAGTTTAGTTGGCAGCTCATTCCTTGTTATTGTGCAACTCAGCTCATGCTTAAGAGAAACAGCGGAATTTTCCCGATTTAATGCATCTCATTCATCTCTCCTTTCACCCCAATGGCACCACGCTAAAACGTGCTTTGGAGCTCCGGCTTAGCTCCCCTTTATTAGAAAC